TGTGTGTTGTTGTTTGTGGGGTAAGGGGATTTCAAAAACTAGAATGAAGTACTTACTTTCCAAAACAAATGAGGATTCAAACCTAACAAATATTGAGCATTTGTGTTGAAAGTTATGAAACTTGAAAAACCAAGTGCAGGTATCATGTTTTCGCAATTCGTAGTTCCGGAAACCAAACAATTGTCCCTTGATTTGATAGTTCGTTACACTTATCCAAATGACCTGGAGTTTGGTTTGAATAGCCGCTACATTGCTTAGTATCAATTGAGAGCTCAAGTCACAATATTGAAGCAACATATCTCCTACTTTGAAAGGATTGAGGTTGGAATTAGGCCAAAAGTCGTGGATGGTTATTTTTTTTGATAGTTATATTAGGAGAATTACATGTGTTCACTTGAAAGTAATTGACTCTATATGTTAGTGATAACACACATTATTCCAAATTGGAAGAGTTGGAATAAAATGAATAAGCACTCAAGAAAAAAAAATGAAACACACTAGTATCAAGAGTAAACTTAGTGAATTCAGAAGTTTGGAAAACGGATAAAATAATGTAAGAATTAAATCCTTTATATAGGGATGATTAAGTGGTTGGGAATGTTACTTACATTATTGAGAGTTGAATAAGCAAGAAATTAAATATAATTGGACATTACTGAAAATAAAAAAATCTTTTTAAATATAATTATTAAAAAATATTGGCATTACTAGACGTACAACTTCTTGAAAAAATCACAATTTTTAATTAAAAAACGATCGACCAATAATAATTATTTAAATTTTTTTTAGTTTAAAAATTTTCGTTTAGTAGAAAAATAAAATACTTGTAAAAGAAAGATTTGAAATGGTAGATTAATTTTACATTTTTCCCAAAGAATTTATGATTAAATTGACTATATAAGTAATTTTTCATCGAGTAAAAATAAAATAAAATTTGGTGGTTGATTTTTTTTCGTTTTCCTATAAACTTCTTACTCCATACATATTATAGCAATTATATGAGTTTGGGTTCCACATTTTATTACTCCCTTTTTAATGAAAGAAAAACCATAAAATTAATAGTGGTTTTTGCTTTAGTACTAGTTATAGATATTATAATATATTATAATATATATTATAATAATACTCAATTCATTTGTCTAACATGAAGTACTTACTAGTCAAAATCAAATGAGGATTCAAAACTTGATAAATATTGAGCATCTGTGTTAAAAGTTATGAAACTAGTGAAACCAAGTGCAGGTACCATGTTTTTACTATTCGTAGTTCCAAAAACCAAATTATTGTCCCTTGATTTGATAGTTTGTTACACTTGTCCAAATGACCTCGAGTTTTGTTTGAATGGCCACTACATCGCTTAGTATCAATTGAGAGCTCAAGTCACAATTTGAAGCAACATATCTCCTGCTTTGTGAGGATTAAGGTTGGGAATTCGGCCAAATAAAAGCCGTTGATGGTTATTTTTTTGAAAGTTATATTAGGAACATTACATGTGTTCACTCGACAGTAATTGACACCATATGTTATTGATAACACATTATTTCAAATTGGAAGGGTTGAAATAGAATGAGTAAACACTGAAGAAGAACTGAAACACACGGATAAAATAATGTAAGAATTGAAACCATTATATAGGGATAGACCTGGAAATCCCGACCCGACCCGAATGACCCGACCCATGACCCAAAGTTGACCCGAAAACGTAAACCCGAAATGGACCTGAACACAAAGTTGACCCAACCCGACCCGAAGTGGAGTTGATCTGAACTTGACTCGATACCCGAATTGACCCGACTCGAAATTGACCTGATACCCGAAGTAACTCGAAACCCGTAGTGACCCGACGCAATTTTGACCCGAATTGATTGACCTCAACAGACCCAAAACCCGAAGCGACCCGAGCTATACCCAAAATGACCCAACCCAAAAATTAACAAATACACAAAATGACCTAATTGATTTAGGGCTTAATTACTTTACTCGAATAAACACTTATCGAAAATAACCTAAATTAAACATTATATTATTGTGTGTATAGTACAGTTGAAATGTGCGTGTAATCTAGTACTCGTAATTCATAAAGAGTTCCATTTGATTAGGAACACTTGTTATTGTTATTGTTATTGTTATTATTACTATTACTCTTAGCTTCTTCTTTTAAGTGTTACATTGAATTGTTTTTCCACTGTTCACTATATGTAATTTGAGTTTTTGACCAATTAATCAATGATAGTGATCAAACATATGAAACAATATATAGTCTTGTGTATATAGTACTGTTGGAATTGTCTAACGAATATATTCTTAATATTTAATAGTTATAATTTATACTTATTGATAATTATAATATATTATTGGTCAAATTTCTACATCAACATAGACGAAGATTGACCCGACCCGAACTCAACCCGACCCAAATTTGACCCGACCCGAACTTGACCCAATAGTTGGACCCGAAGACTAACCCGACCCGAAATGACCCGACCCAAACTCGACCCGAAGTGTTGACCCGATACCCGATCCAACCCGAATTACCATTAACCCGAAACTGACCTGAAACCCGAATTGACCCGAACCCGACCCGAATATTAATTGACCTGAAATTGACCCAACCCGAACTAACCCGACCTGTACCCAACCCGAACGACCCGTTTGCCTGGTCTATATAGGGATGGTATGATTAAGTGGTTGAGAATGTTACTTTCATTATTGAGAGTTAAATAAGCAAGAAATTAAATATAATTGGACATTTCTAGAAATAAAAATTAAAAAATCTTTTTATATATAATAATAAAAAAAATTTGGCATTACTGGAATTACAACTTATTGAAAAATCACAATTTTTAATTAATTTTGACATGAACTAAAAAATGATCGAACTATAATATTTTTTAAAATCTTTTTTTAGTTTTAAAAATTTTCATTTATTAGAAAGAAAAATACTTGTAAAATAAAGATTTGAAAATAGTAGCCTAATTTACAATTTTCCAAAGGAATTTATAATTAAATTGACTAACTAAATAATTTTCCATCAAGTAAAAATAATATAATATTTGGTGGCTGAACTTTTTCATTTTCCTATAAACTTCTTACTCCATACATATTCTAGCTTAGTGATTATATGATTTTGGGGTTTTCACATTTTATTTCTCCCTAATTCTTAAATTTTGTTAATAAATGAAAAACCATAAAATTAATGATATAGTTTCAAGAGTTTGATAATAATTGCTCAAAGTTCAGGTTGAGATGTCAATGATATAGTTTCAAGATTTTGATAATAATTGAAATATTCAAAATATAAAATTTGTAGGGCTGGATATATAAATACGTTGTACATAAGTTTTTCAGAAACTCTTCTTACATGATTCATAAGATGCTATAAAATCGACGCATCAATAATTTCATCACAACTATAAGCCCATTGGAATATAAATATTTCTTTGTAATTTTCCATTAAAGTTACAAATACGCCTTGCTATACTTTGAACAAACATTTACATATACCAAAATTATTGTATAGACTCTAATGCAGCAATATGAGATATAGAAAACAAAATATACAATGAGTAATGCATCTAACAACTTTCGATACAAATACATTAACCTAGACTCACACATGCATATGAACATACATAGGACTCAAAATAATGCAAGACATTGCATAGTGTGGATTTAAAAATCCATATTTCATTGGACTTCTGGTCCGTAATAAACTTATGATGATTATCATTATGTCGACATCAAAATGGACATATATTTCAGATCCCTTATTCACTAGTCCATTCTATTATGCATATAAATTATTTATCGGTTCCATCATATACTGGTATCATCATATAATTTTTCAAGGTACAATTTTAATTTGCATGCTATTTTGACAATGATATCTGAATACATTTTTCATTGGTACCATCATAATTTTTCTTACATCATAGGTCATCTATTGTAATAATTCAGATATCTATACCACTTTTGGGGTATTTATATACTATTACACTATTAAAAGTGTTGATTTCACTATCTTGCCACATATCATATCTATATTTTGGAATCGATCATACAACCCACACTTCGGGTGTAGTGATTCATGTATAATTGGCAAGATTTTATCTCAATGTATACACATAATTTAATATGACCAAAATGTATCTTCAACACTATGCAACATGAGTCATAACTGATTACAAATCAAATCATAAATGTGCAACACATCTTGATAATATATAGACAAAAGTTGGCTTATAAGTTTTCAAACTACCATTATAGGGATCATTAATTTATTTTTTTCGATTTTTTCAACTTTTGCTAATTCTTCTCCCCCTAGCTAAGTTGGTAAAATATCTCATTTATAGGGGTGTCTAAATATAAACCAACTTAGTATACATATTTGCATTAAAATTCATTTCATTAGGACGATCACAATCAAAATTTATCTCTCAGAAGATTTGAATTAAACAAGTTTTATCTCTTCTGGAGAACAATTTCGATGAAGATTCATTTCTTCATTAACTTTATATTGCATGTGTATTTATTATTAAACTTTCCATAATATGTTCTTTTCTGGAAATCAATGTCAATGGGAGACATGTGTTGTGCAATTGTATGTTTTTCCTTCTTTTTCAATTTCTTCTGTGCTGACATATAATAGCCTCAATCAAAAGAATTGTTCTACAATCATAAATCACTTGCTTGTAATTCTAATACACTAGGCGAAAAAACGAATTCCCCACCGGTTCAAACCCCCCCCCCCCCCCCCCTTCCCACTGGTTTTGAACCGGGTTCTATTTAAGGGGTGCTAAAACCCCATAGATTTCGCACCGGTTCAAAACCGGTGGGAAAAAGGACTTTTTGCACCGGTTCTTAGGAAAAACCGGTGCCAAAAACTAGATTTTTCGCACCGGTTTTGTCGTAGAACCGGTTCCAAAAGTCTCCAAAAATATTTTTTTAAAACTTTTAGCACCGGTTATTTACTAAAACCGGTGCCAAAAGTGCCCCAAAAAAATAAAAATAAAAATTTTTTCAATTTTTTTCACTTAAATTGTACAAATATTTATATATAATCATAATATACATAAACACATATATTTTCTTCAATATTTGTGTCATACATCCATTAAAGAGCACTACATCTTTGATAAATAGAAAAAAAAAAGACTGCAGACTGCTCCCACTGACCCCAAGCCTGCAACAGAGAATAAGACAGCACAGCCACACCACGACTAGCAACCCAAGCAGCAGCTACAAGCAAAACAGCAACCAGAAGAAGCTACACCACAGCTAGGCAGCGAGCACCAGACCCAGCACGAGCTGTCAAAATTGCCAGCCACATTCATGACCAGAAATTGCCCTAAAATTGCATTCAGCACCATTCATGACATTCAGTGCATTGGAACAGACATGATAGACGTTAAAGAGGCATGATATGGAGAAAACCGGCATAAAACCTATTGCTCAACCAAGTGTCCATATGCAAAAATACAAAATAATCTGTACTGAAGATGAGCTCCATGCTTATACATGGAGGGAAAAAAACAAAAAATCGAGTTTATAAAGAGGGAAAAAAAAGAGGGGGAGCTGAACAAGTGAACTTACCTCTATGCCCAAAAGTGCATTCAGTCCATCCTCCAAACATCCCAACAAATATGCATCCTACAAAAGAGATGTGTATATTAGCAAATGTCCTTTTCATAGCCATGAAACAAGCAGGCTTCATAATTCAGTGACTCACCAATGAGCATGCCACCCCACAGACCAAAAATCTCACACTCACTTCATCGTCATGGATTTTAACAGCAGAAAGATTACTCTCAGAGCCATCTTCTTCATGACCATCATTAGCCTCGGTCAAAGCAACTTCAACAATGGGAGCCTCCCCAAGAAGAGATGGCCCCCCAGATTACAACCAGCCATTTGGCTGTTCTGGGGAACCACTGCATTGTTCCGAATGCAATAAAGACTAAATGGTGCATGAGCCAGTTGGAAAGCATCCCAGGTATGGCAGGGCGTACTGCATGGAAAAAGAGTTAAATTATAGTTCCTAAACATATCAACATGCATAAGCAATAAACACCACACAATCAGGTTTTTCTCCATGCATTTAATCAGTAACACAGGCCATATACTGATATTAACTGATCCCAAATTGAGGTACTCTAAAGCTTATGCTAAGAACAAGCAATAAGTCTATACTTATTGTTGAGGATATTGATTGTACTCTTGGGTTGCCCAGCTGCAGAGGGAATTTGGACTGCTCATTCGACAATGATGTAGACTATGTACGTGTTAATGAGCATCAGACATCAAAGGTATGTTCTGTATTACAATTTCCTTAGCTTATTACCAATTTACTTAATCATATCATATGAACTTTAAAGGAGTCATTGTTCTGCATACAAATAAGTTTTGTATCAATAAATTGAAAAAGTACTTTTTAATCTTATATCAAAATTGCATATGACAATACAATTTATACAAAAACATAGTAAATCTGCATAGATCAAAAGTACCAATTTTTTTTTTTTTTTTAAAAAAAAATTATTTATTAGCAAAATCCAATTGAAGAGAACAGAGAAAAATCTAATTCACATTGGTACATGTAATGAATACAGCAATATACGGATTTACAGAGTATGTTATATGTACACTTAATGAATAGTTCAATTTGTAAACTTTGATCAGAACAATTTTGGTTTCTATAATCAAGTTTGAAACAGTTTGTTTTTGTTAATCTAGCTCATGTCATGTGACAGTTTTACACTGGCTGTCATTGGCCTACTGCAACCCTCCTTTATCCAGGCTTGGAACTGGCAGCGGGAAACCCACTAGCGGAGTTTTGTTAATCTGGCTGTCTAGTAAAAATACCCCTTCTGGACATATTTACTTCTCGCATGCATATCTCACTTCTTGTATTTGTGATGACATGATTTTGTAGTAGTTTACATATCTATATTCACCCCATCATCTAGTTTAAGTTGTGGTACATTAGTATATGTAACTACAAATTTCAAACATGCTGAAGATTAGATTATATGCTTGGAGTATAATTATATTCTATATCATTTTGATGTGATTACTACTTAGCAAAGGAATATTAGAGAGGATAGATTTATACCTTCCATATCTCTTCCTCGGAATAAAGACCAAGTGGATCCACATTGGTTCTCGCCGTTCCTTGAAATAGTACCGGCTCTTGTAGAATGATGACACAGTCGATTTTGAGTATTCATCTTGTAAATGCCTATTCAATCAAACTCCAATTTGAGAACAGATTCGACAAACAATAAGAACATACTTGGTAAAAATTACAGCAGCAGCACATTTAATAGAACTGTAACGCTCTCTGATGGACTTAAAAAAGATGGACCAGAGTGACTGCTTTGTCACAGGTGCCCGCCTAGCAGTCTCAGCCACGAATAGTTGAATAAAGAGCGGAGACATGATCTAGAGAGGAATTGACAGCTGAAATTAATGTAACACTATTAGTAAGAGAAACGCTAACAACCAAGATAACTCACAATAAACAGCAACATCTTAAGAGGTAAAAACATGCCTCAAATATGTACTTTCCCGGAATAAACTTTGCTAGCAAACTCCCCAAGACATATGAAGCAGACATTACACCTGTGATCCAACTGAATGCTGCAACTCTTTTGTCATCCTCAACTACATCTGCCTATCAGATAGTGACTTTTATTCTTAGTCATTTCCATTTACAAATTCCAAATGACAACTTGAGTAATATCTTACCGCATAGGCAATAGCAATGCAGAATACACTCCGGAGACTTAGAATGTAGGAAAGACAACGAAGAGCGAAGTATGCATATATGAATGCCCTGGACTTGTTAATGGCAAGAAGAACTGAATGGAAAAAAAAAAAAAAAAAAAAAAAAAAAAAAAAAAAAAAAAAAAAAAAAAAACAGGAAAGATGTTGAGCAACACAAATCATCAAGGAAAACAGGTCATAAAGTAGTACATATGAGACATTGATTCGCAATTTAAGGAAGCTGGTAAAGGGTGCAACTACTACAAGTCTTTTACCACTGAAAAAGAGAGCACACTACAGGCATGGAGGCACCCTATATATGTACCGATGATGTATATCTATTTCAGAGTGCAATTGACCAAAAACAGAGTTATACAAAACAATTCATTATCTTTTCAAGCTTATAGAAGTTCTAACAAAGGGAAATGAGATGCTGATCAAATTACATACCAGATTCGACAACCCTTAAACAACAACAAAATCAACCAACAATTCATCAATCGCAACGAAGATCCAAATTGAGAACAGCAAAAAAAAAACAAAAAAAAAAACCCATAAGGAAGCGAAATCGAAGCAAACCAGGAGAAGCATTTTCACAATGTTTGTAAGGCATTAGAAACTAACAGGATATCAACACCTTCAGGGAGAAATCCGAGGGATAGAAAGTCATTTGCTAAACCCAGTAAGTCACGATTAACAAAGTGCACAAGCTGCAAAAAATAAACACATTCAGTCAGGGAAAAAAAATCATACTATCACCCTTCCAAACAGAAAGAATTATGTAAAAGGACACAAGATATGTAAGCCAATTTAGTATTTTGCACAACTAACAGCAGCAATAGCTAGAAATTATTTCCAGCATGGATCTCGTCCCCCTAACACCAGGGTCAAGCAAAGTCACATCCAGCCTTACCTCTATTGACTCTAAGCTCTACCTTAATTAAGATGTGTAACTTATGCCAGCAGCTATACTTCATTCTCACCAGTCATAAAAATGTGGCTTTTACTGAATTTTAATTACAGATGTACAAAAAAATTAATTTGGGCAAATTTTCAGGGAAGGCCAAGCCCTTGCACGCATGCCCCTACAAAGGTCTGCCTCTGTGGCCATCAATGTCTATTAGGCTCAGAAGGGAATGTCGTTGCTACAGAGTTTGCAACACAGGTATATGTGATCCCACTTGTAAAAATTTGAGCTTTTTTCTTTAGGCCACAACCCAACCCAACTGTTACAACATAATCCACCCAAAATCTCAAAGCAAACCACAAAGAACAGAAAACCCTAAATCAACGACTAACCCTAGATTGCGAAGCTATTCAATAGACTAGGAAGACCACGAAATATTTCTTACCTCGAAGCTGCTACAATGGAGTTGGAAAGCTCGGAATGCGCTTCAATGGAGGTCACAAAGCTTGACAGTATGCGCTTCAATGGAGGAGATAGCTATATATGGAGAGAAAGAGAGGAGTTGCGCGGCAATGGAGGTGAGAAAGCCCAGGGAATGCGCTTCAATGGAGGATAACCTATGCGTGAAGGAGATGGTGAGGGTAGGCGAGAACGAGAGAAGAAGATTAATTGAAGGGGAAGCAGGGGAATGAAATTGTTCGTGCTGAAGGAATTGAAGAAGAGTATTTCACGGTTTTTTTTTTTTTTAATTTGCGTACTTTCCCCACCAGTTTGGGTTAAACCGGTGGCATATCCACTTACCCTTTTTTTTAATAAACACATTTAGCACCGGTTCGAACCGGTTCGAAAATATACATTTGCCACCGGTTTCAAAGGAACCGGTGCGAAAAGTAAATATCCGAATCCCGCCCAAATCTTTTCCCACCAGTTTTTAAGAACCGGTGGGAAAACGGGGGTGCCTTTTTCAATTTTTCTACTAGTGATAGGTAGTGATCATCAAGATCTTTTAAGACTTAAACATAGTATATTTGGTAAACTTCTGGTCACCTAATAGTTGACAATAATATATAAGTTATTCTGGTCACATATTACTCTTTCGTATAAAAAAAAAAATCAAAACCTATTAACTCTTGAAAATTTTCATCAATATAAATTATTATAAATCACTATCCAAATATAGCTCAATCTCAATGTTATCTCTTGCCATTCAATTCAATTCATTTCATATATCTAACATTGAGAGAGCGTCAGCACATTATCAAATGAAACTTCAGGTTTTCATAACAGGTTATTGAATCCGGATGGCCTAAATTAATTATCACATCCAATCGTTTATCTAAATTTAAATTATGGTTAGTTTTCCAACACTAGTGATCACTTTATGAGACATAATTTATGCATGGCCATGAATATGATGTGATATTAAAATACCAGCATGTGTTTCTTTATATAATTGGCAAGACAATTAACTAATACTTGATCCAATATGATTTTATACTCTGCTAGAGCTTTGACTATAATCTTGATACATGCTAAGCTTGTTGGACATTCCATACTCTTCTGGAGTATTCTATATATAATCATGGACTCATGGTACATGTCTATTTTACTAAACATAATCTCTTCTAAAGATCTATCAGAATGTATCACTAGTAGAAAATAGGTAATGGGAAGCCACTAATTGGAAGGGGTTATTGGAATCCGCTTCCAATTCCATACAAAAACCCGGGAAATTAAAAAAAAAAAAAAAAACAAGAGGAGAATTGGAATCGGTTTGAGTAAGGGGTTGTGGAAAGGCACCAGGGAAGAGAAAGGTAAGGGGTGCAACTAAAGCTTTTAAAAAACCCGGGGAACCCATGACTCTTGAGTTTGACGAGTTGGGTCAACCTACTGGGCAATGGCGCAGCAAATATTCCACACATTGGGATATTGACTCGTAAAATACCGATCACACTTGACTGGGCAGAGATACCTAAAGGGTTGCTTCAAATGTTTTGGGATGATACAATGGTAAGTGTTTTGCATTTTAGTTTTTCTCAAAAAACTTCGTACCAAAATCAATGTGCATTCACCGAAATCAAACTAAACTTCGTAACATTGGTTGTGCAGCCTGCCTACTTGACTGTGCAGCAGGCCAGGGCTGTGTGCAGCCTTCCAAGGCTGCTGTGCAGCTACCTAGGCTGGTTGTGCAGCCTGCCAGGGCTGCTGTGCAGCTGCCTAGGCTGGCTGTGCAGCTGCCTAGGGTAGGCTGTGCAGCCTGCCAGGGCTGCTGTGCAGCTGCCTGGGTTATTGTGCAGCCTGCCAGGGTGGCTGTGCAGGATCTTTTTTTTTTTACTTTATTTTGCCCTAGACTAACATGTACGTTTGCCATTCTTACAGAGTGTGTTTAATATTCCTGATGAGCCAGACAAGAGAAGATCGTTTGAAGGTTTTGTACAAGAGAGATTCAAAACTTCAAAAGTTCGTCGAGAACAAGATGGATCCATAAGAAACAAAGGCATAAATCAAAGAAAACTGTGATGGGTAATGCAGGAGAGGAGGAATTTGAGAAGAAACCGTGGGATGTATATCCACAAATAACGATGAAGGACTGGGAGAAATTTTGTGGCAAAATCAACTATTACTACTGCATTTGTATGTATTATAATATAAATTAGAGTTGTTTCCTCAATTTTGCTCACTACATATTATGATGCGAACATTTGGTGATGTGTAGGAAAAAAGTTAACAAGCTATGAGCAATGCTGAGAAGAAAATGTATAACCATCATATGGGTTGTTAGACATTTGCGTAAAGTAGACCAAAGTGGATCAAAGAGGGTATATACCCCGCATCTAAAATACCATCATCTGATAAACCGCTTGATTCCACGGTCACAAGTTTGGTAAGTCGTGCAAATGATTGGTGTTGTGCTATGCATGGGATCGACAAGAACACCGGGAAGTACATCATGCACCCGGATAAAAGGCCAGTAGCGGATGCACTTGTAAGCACCCTTTGACATTTATGGTAATATTCCACAGTTATTATTAAATATTTCCATAGAAACTACATCTAACTTAGAACTGGAAACTTTTTGTGTTGTTGAAGCTCGAGCATACGTCGGAAGTGGTTGAAGGCAAGCTCACTCCAAGCATAGAGAACGATCCTTTTACCTTAGCTTTGGGAAAACCATACCGCCCTGGGCGAGTCATTGGTGCGGGAGGGAAACAACTAGGGTGGGAAAAGGTTATAGGTTCAGAATACACTAGATCAGGAAGAACTAGATCAAGTGTTAATTCGCCCCACCATATGAATGCCAAGGAAAAGGAATCAATTAAGGCGGAGATACGCAAAGAGGTGCAAGAACAATTACAAAGTCAATTCAATGCCATTTTAAAGCACATGAACTTGCCAACCTTGTCTTTGCCCCCGATAACCCCAGTGGACTCATGTAGTCACCCAAAAGATGTCGGGGACGATCCACTTGTTGAGAGCGAGGTAATTGAATTACAGTTGAGAACATGAACTTCATATCATCAAACGAGGCCTTATGTAGCATAATTATTTTACTATTGCAGATTCCTACTCCTACGCATGCAGACTCAAGGGGGATTGCAAACTAGACACCTGATCCTTTTCCAGATGTTCAGGTAAATTTCAAGTCTTAATGAAATGTAAACGTATTAGGCTTACGCTGGTTAATTAGTTCATAACTTGTCCTAATCAACTGTGTAGGAAGAGACGCCTTGTGAGCTTCTTCACCCCGGCAAAAACGTGGATGGAGAGTTGGTGGGGTATGATAGCGCACAACCGTTTGACAAGGTACATTTTAAGTCTAATACTAGTACCCACTATATCTCGGTCGGGATCAATTCCATAGTACCAAGGTTTAAGGACTTGCCACTACCGGTGCCTAGAGTGGAATATGACTTCATCACGCTGCTTGATGCGAAAGGTAGCTTTGTGCAATGGCCACATGATCGGGTGAGGTTGATAGGAGGGGTAAGTGTACACTACTTACCTTGTTTTTAAAACATGCCCCAAATAGCTTGTAATATAACCATGTGCTTTTATGTTACAAATGAAAATCAGTCATCTAAAAGGAAGAAGGTGGAGAAGCCAAAATCTAAGAATGTCCAACCTACAAAGAACATGGAACAAGGACAAGGGTTGAAGAGTTCGAGAGGTTCTGCCACGAGTTGTACTCCACTAGTAGAAGCCGGCATCCTGAATTCGCTCTCTAGAGCTTGTACTTTTCTTCATAACCGTGTGAGTGAGTTGCCTAGGGGTAGATCTATTGAAGTTATTTTACCTAAGGCATTGTTCCACTATGATGAGGATGGGATCGCACCAATTGCAAAAGAGGATGTGAAGGAATTTCTATCCGGTGCCATGCTTAACATTTCCATCGTTCAAGCTTTCATGAGGTAATGCAATGCCACTATTCCTAATCATTTTGTTGCATTTTCGACTGTAAACAATGCTTTTAATAATTATTCCCCACAATATTGTCATGAAGGGCACTACAGGAGCACTTTAGATGCTTAGGCAATTCCAAGGCTGCAGTTGGGTGGTTTTTCCCCGAGCAGACCTCGCTTACCAGATGCTTGTGCAACCCTCGTGATGTGGAAGATTACCTAGAACAGAGTATCAAGGAATCAACGCGTGAGGGAGATAAGTTCATATTAGCCCCATGTTTTGAGGAGTACGTCTACAAATATCATAAATTCAGTTGTTATTTTTTAAAAAAAATTTGAAAATGCAGTTAACTGTGGCGTATATTTGTTAACGTTTTTCAATATATGCAGTGCTCATTGGACCCTTTTGGTGATTTGTGTTTCCAAATACACAATCTACCACTTTGATTCACTTCGTCAGAATCCACCACGTAGGTTGCTAGTGAATAATATATTGAATAGGTACATATTGCTTCCTATTGTTTATTATCCTCACCTAAACCATTGAGTATTTATGTTTCTAACTTTGAACTTACTTTCCTAAAGTGTTATGAAGAAGCTACATTGTCGTTCTGCTATGGGTCCTACTTGGGAATATGGAAAGGTAATGCCTTGAGTTAGTGATTTGCTGAATATACTTGGCTTCGGTTATGGCTATGCATGATTTGATATCCTTTGTGGCATGTCAGTGTGCGCAACAAGACAACTGACTTAACTGTGCCCTATATGTTATGAGGTTTATGCTTGACATAGTCAGTAAATGCAAGGACGCACAACAACTAGATGAGGTATGCTTTTACTATCTTCAACCTATTAATTGTTTTCATTATTGCACTGAACAAAACACGAGCATAACTTGCGCCAAAAAAAACACAAGCATAACACGCAATATGCAAAGGCACGCTTCCTAGGCTGTGCAGCAGCCAAGGCAGGCTTCCCAGGCCACTACAGCAGCCAAGGCAGGCTGCCCAGGCCACTAAAGCAGCCAAGGCAGGCAGGCAGGCCAGGCCACTGCAGCAGCCCAAGCAGGCAGGCTAGGCCACTGCAGCTACCCAGCAGCCTGTACATGCACGTGATGCATGTCATTTTTGTGCATTTTGGTGATTTTCGGTGAATTTCGGTGTTGTGATACTCATGACAATGTTTGGTTTTATTTTTCTCTGAAGTTTTGCAAGGTTCAAAGGGAAGGCCCGTTAACAAGGAATGAAATCAATGAAGTTCGCGACATGTGAGCTTTTTTCGTCACATTTAATGGCATGTAGCTTAGAATTGCGGTAATGGTTATATTGGTTCGTTAGCTTGACTTTATTAATTACTTATTATTGTCAACATTATTTTAATTAAGTACGTATTAGTATGTACGCAGTATTTCTAATTGTAATCTTAATATATTTTGGTGTAATTAAATATTGTTGTTCATTAAATATATTAATGATGTTACTTTTTATATACATAATTAGGGGTGGGACTTCGGTTTGGCAGTTCGGTTTGACCTCGGTTTGAAACGGTTTCGGTTTGAAACGGTTCGGGTTGAAACGGTTTCATTTAGACGGTGGGTCGGTTTAGTTCAGTTCAGATTAGTCACAGGTAGGTTCGATTTTGGTTTATTTTTGTACAGTTTAAATTCGGTTCGAGTCATAAACGGTTCGGTTTATAAACAGTTTGGGTCATAATCAGATCGGTTAGAAACGGGTCAGTTCAGGGGCGGGTTTACCTGGGTCAATGCCGGTTCGGTTTTTTAACGGTTCGGTTCATAATC